TAAAAAAATGAAAGAAATAACTTCTACACGGGAAAAAAAGAGTTCCCATATTCGTGAACCACAGTCGTGAACCATGGTTCACGGTGTATATTTGAGAAAATTTTGTTCTGGATAGCTGGCCGTGATTTTCAGTTCACGGTTTGTTCACGGTCCGTTCCCGTTTTCGGGAACGGATTTTTTTCCGAGTAAGCTTACAAAATTATTGTAAAAAAATACCGAATCGTTCGGTAAATTTATTTAACTTTTAACAAAAAAATCACAGTATATCTGTGAAAAAATACAGGAAAACAGTGAAAAATCACAGAACTTTTCGGTAATTTGACAGATAACTTTTTTGCAACTTCACAGACTGTTTACCGAACATTCTACTGTTGAGATTTCGGTAAAATTTCACCGAAATTTGTGAAATATTCTAAGTGTGTAAAATGGCTACCCTCAATCAATTTTGCCAAATCTTTTTTTCAGAATATGTGTATCCATTTTTACGACTTTCCTCCTTTCAGTATCGTTCGAGTGTTTTGGCAGCGATACTAGCCCTTTCGCTGCTGTGTGTTGCCTTCTGATTTTGTTATTAAAATACGTGAATTTTCCAAACAACAACAACTCATAAATACAAAAATCCACGGATTGTAACCAACTGGTAAGTTTTTTAGTGAGATCTAGCAAAATAAAGTGCCGAGGTGGTGCCAAAAAAAAAATAGGTGTGTATATTGATCGAGTAATACTATTTTAATACTACTGTAAATTCCATATATAGCATTTTTAGTATTTTTATTGAAAAGCAGGTTAATGTATTTATTGAAATCAATTAAATATTTAAATTGAAATTACTAAAACTAAATAAATCATATAATATTTAATTTTGAAAAAGATTTCGTGTTACGTAGCCAGATTTGAAAACATCCCCACCCCTCTCATTTAACGTAGCGAAAAATAACAAGATGGGAAACTTTCCTCCCCTAAGCGCGTTACATAATATGTGAACGAGCTACAAGATATTTGCTACCCCGATTATGTCACCCCGACTGGCGCTACAATTCATTATAATTATTCAATTCGATTATTCAAAAGCTTTTATATGACAAAAAACTTCTCAAGTTATAGAGAAGGAGTCAACTTTAAAAGAGATAAATTACTTTTGAAAATTGTTCAAATTGCGTCTTAGTTTGGCCTGCTTGCTTTACTCAGTATATTGCGTTTACAATGTTTTGTACTTTAGAACTTTTTTCCCCTCGACCTTTATTTTCTTCGATATTTTTTCCTGTCGATTTTTCGTTTAAATTTTAGCACATTTTCAAATGTTCGTCTAGACCTGGCATGATGGCGCCGGAGGTTGAGCGTGACAGCTTTCTCACCTCAGTGTGTCTGGGTTCTCCCAGCCAAGGTCGAGGGGATTATTCTAAGGCGAAACAATCTCTGATTGTCACGTCTTCCCACCGAAGGGAAGTAAAACCCTTGGTCCTGGTATCCTGGGTTCGATGGTTCCCAGGGGTACGGTCACTTCCCTGGCACTTGATTGCCGTCGGTGATTAATTACCAATTGGCCAAGCCCCATTGACAATCGACGTACGTCTTTCGCACACTTTCGTCACAAGAAGTTGCAGCACCCTGTTTATGAATTAAATAAGTAGTATAGAAGCTTCAACAACCTATTTGTGACCAGCGTGCTACCACAAACGAAGTGACAGACGGAGCGGCTCGAAAACTTTGGTGACTAACCTTCTATTGCAATTTTTCAGTGTACCACATGGCAACACCACTACTACTGGATTGTACCACATGGCAACACTACTATTGGATTGAACTAGCATTTTCACCAAATGTACTAGAATATTTTGGTTCTATCTCTTTCACTCTACTCAAAACTTTTTTTTTTTTTTTTTTTCTTCTTTATTATAGAGATTTTTAGCCTGAGGCTAGTTCATCTCTTCCTACTCAAAACTGAAATGCATAAAAAGATGACAAAATGATACGCACTCTTTGCACACTGTCAAAGAATCATTGTACACAAAATCAACTTTGTTCAAATCAAAACAAAAAACTAACCCATCTGGCGGATGATGGCACAAGCTTCCAAGAAAATTCTATTACAGTGAACCACATTATTTAAATGGATTTCTTCGCGAGTAAGTCGTCTGTCACTTCGTATGTGGTGCTACTGTGGAAGAACAAAAAGAGTTTACATTTGACCCGCTTCAAAAGCATTCGATTGCTGACATGCATCAAATTACAGCAAAACTGCTTTATTCATTCCAGTGCTTCCAATCATACACAAAATCACTTCGCTTTGTTACCATCGTAAATCGTCTTGATCACTTCGCCCAACTGATCAAGGGCCTTCTGGTTGATCTCCTCGTACCCATCGATCTGCTTCATCCTTTCGTACCAAGCGTACACCTTGGGATACTTGCTACGATCTGCCTGTAGATGAGACTCAAGCATCACATCCAAGAACGAGAACGAAGTCACACAACTGATATCGGCCAGCGTCACGTGGTCTCCCACCAGATACCGATCGACGAGCAGAGCTTCCAACAGTCCCAGAGCTTCTAGCACACAATCGATGCTATCCTGGGGAACTTCCGACTGTTGACTGGCCTTCCGAATGGCGTCCCCGACGAGACGCAGTCTAGCGAACATCACTCCCGATTCAAAGTGCAAGATGGCATTAATTCGGGCTTGCTGCTTGATGTCACCGGTAGGATAGAGAGCGCTGTTGGGGGCATATTTCGAAACCAAGTAGATGGCAATGGCGTGGCTGTCGTACAGAACGAATCCGTCGTCGTCGATCACCGGGATGGTGTGCTGCGGGTTCATCTGCGTTAATGAAAATCAATGCGTTTAGAGTCTGTGTTTGGTTGAACATTCAAGCATAGGATATTGCCAACCTTGACGAACGCCTCCGTTAGGTGTTCATTTCCCATAACATTGACGGAACTGTAGTGAAGTGAGAAAAATAAGAAGTGATTGATACTGAAACCTCAACCGGATCGAATATGAAACTTACTGAAATTCGATCTCAAGGCCGAGTGCTTTTGCGGTTAGCTGAACCGTTCGACCGGGCGGGCTGAGCTGGTTGCTGTAGAGTTTGATTTTGCCCATCGTAGTAATCGCGCGAAAACGTACTGTACGATAAATAGGTGTATGGAAGTTGCTATCTGGAAGCACAATGGGAAACTGAAACCTGTTACCGGAATGCATGCATCAGTTTTACAGAATACTACGGTACGATGATATGCTTTATCATTCGTGGCTAGCAGCAATGACAATTTGTAGATAAAGTACGTATATAATGCGTTGAACCGTGAATGTACACAAATGCTACGTCATGATTAGATTATATATATGAGGAGAGCTTTCTACAGTTTTGATCAACGGTGGTAATGATAACAACTCGGGCTGTTTACATTTTAAAGCGATAAAATAGAATATGTTTTAATGTTGATTTTACTATAATTCAGATTGAAATAAGTTATCCCTTCTTCTTAGCTATTATATTCAAACTGAACTTAATTAGTATTCCTTGCGCATATCCACAGTGGATAAGGCTTTTACATGCGAACCTACCGTGTAGTGCCATCATTTCGTGCTCCTAAGTTCCTAATTCCATGAATTAAAAAAAATCAAAACATATTTTTAATGAGGACATTTTGAATTAAAATTTAAATAGGTATTATCAACTAGTGTATGGAAAGAATATAAATTTAGAAAATATTTTTTTCTCTGTTCGGAACCTAACACTACTGCGACCAGTAAATTGATCTATTGTAGTATATCCCGTGTCCTTAGTTTAGTGCATGTCGAATTACTCCATCAGTATTGAAAAATGATGAACTATTCGATTTTTTTCAGTTGCCACTCTTGCAATTATCGCAAGGATCCGACTCTAATTGAAAGGTCCCGCTATTTATACCCTTCGGAGTGTTGAAACACCCTCCAAAGGCGCACCCCTTTGTCAGTCAAAATTGAATTCCTTAGCAACAAAATTAAGGTATGCCACCGATAATGACAATGAATCAGAACCCTAGTCTTAACCACTTCAAACTACGGAACAACGAATAGAGGATTAGAAATCACATAGATGAACTCATTTTTTTCCTTGTTTCAAGATCATTCTCGGTAGACAAAGCCGAGTCTTCTCACTATCAACAAGACATACAAACCGACTTGAAACTTAAACTTAACTCTTGATCGAGAATCCATAACTGCGGATTAAATGTGCAGCGATCCCATCTGTCAAAACCATAGAAATTTGTTATCTAGATAAAAATAATTTGCCCGGAATAGATTAAACTCATACATTTTGTATGTGTGTTCATGGCTAGGATACACATTTTTTGCCAAACACGGCGGCAGATGTCAGTTTTGTGCTTTGATCAGAAATTTGATGATACTTTGTATACACGGATAGAAATCTCCTTATACCTTTTGGCAAATTTCCATTGCTGATTATTCATAAAATGTATAAGTCAACTAATAAGCAGACGCCTTGCAAAAAGTTAATAAAGATCATGTGTCCAATGAAATGTATAAGCGGTCACACATACCTTTTATGCATTTTAATAGGACCTATGTGGTTTGCCTTATGGAATGTATAAGGCTGATGCTTTGGCAAAAATGTATAAGTGAAACACATGAATTAAATAATTGATTTTCGTTTCGTGTAGTCATTCATGTCGGTTTGTCGGTGACTTCACGGTATATGTTGAATATTTGGAGGCGAACCAGCCCAAGGCTGAAAGCCTCCTTAATAAAGCTAAATAATAATAATAATAATATATGTTGAATAAAAGAAAACTAATGTGTTTACCTAGTATCCAAAATAAAAATGATCAAGGATTAATAGATGCGTCTATTTGTCTGTGATAATGCTCTGTGCACTGGGAAGCCTAAAGTATTATGGGACAAGTATTTATATATTTATTTTCAAATATTTGCATTCAATCAAGAAACACGATAGTTCATAAAATTTCCCCCCTATTCAAAACATCTCATTTCAGTCATGTCTAAACCCGAACTATACTATGATCCCAACAGTCCACCGGTCCGAAGTGTCCTACTCGCCCTAGCAGCCTTGGGAATCAACGACCAAGTGGATCTCAAACTGGTTCGTCTATTCCAGCGAGAACATTTGAACGAAGCTTTTGTCAAAGTGAGCACATGGAAACTCTTTCCCAAGAAAACAAAAACGATTTAAAATTCAAAATTTTAGCTCAACCCCCTTCACAAGGTACCGGTATGGAAACACGGTGACCTCGTCCTGACGGACAGCCACGCCATCCTGATGTACCTTTGCGACGTCTACGGACAGGAGAGTGAATTTTCGCTAAACGATCCAAAGAAACGTGCCCTAGTCAACAATCGATTGTGCTTCAACAATTCCGTGCTGTTCCAACGAGAGTCATCGCTCATGGTAGATTAGAAGCACTTATGTCCGTGATTGTCCAGTTGAAATTGATTGTTCTGTAATTTCAGGTTAAAATATTCCATCGGCAGATAGCGGAAGTCACGGAGGATCATCTTAAGCCTCTAGAAGAAGTGGTCGGATATTTGGAAACGTATTTGGCAAGCTCGAAGTTTGTCGCATGTGATGAGGTATTCGTTGAATGAAACTGCCAAACCAAAGTGTTAGAATATCCAATCCCATTTCAGCTGACTGTGGCGGATTTTTCGATCGTTGCCATCCTGAGCACGATGGAAACGATTTGTCCAATACCGGCTAGTCGATGGCCAAAGGTGGCCGCATGGTATGAGACAATGAAACAGTTGCCCTACTATCACGAAGCTAATCAGACCGGCCTGGATAAGCTGAAGGCCAAATTGAACGTAGTGTTGAGTAAATAAATGATTTCAGTGGCTTTATTAAGTGAAAGAGGCTAACAGTAAAGCATTTAGGTCGATTAAATAGCAGCTGGGGTGATTTTTTGTTTGTTTAAGAAATCCCTAAAGTTTCTAAATAGATTGTGCGCTTATTAAATAATTAAAATTAAATGCCTAACATAATAATATAAATTTTTTATTTGAGGCACAGACAAACAAACATAACACTGGAATGTTTTTCATCGAGCATGCTTTTAACGGTCTATTGAAATGTTTCTTAGTTGGTAGTACCGCCGCTTGTGGCGCGTACAGTTAATGCGCACGAGTATTGGTGGTCCGAAAGAGAGGATAACAATAGGCGAATCCAATGGAAATTAAGCGATCGTTTCAGCCTCTGGTGGTGAATCAGAGAACCATCAAAAGAGTGATGAGGGCTGAAATTTTCACCGTGAAGCATAGGAATGAGGTAAATGTTTTTACCTTTTCTGATTAATTTATCCATCTCAGGTGCTTGTAATCAACATCCACATGAAATTATTTCTTTTCTGTATCGATTTTTGAGTGGACCGGCTAGTGCTTCCACATATTTTTGTTAAGAAAAGTGAAGATTTATAAAACTACCCCAGCGGTTAGGATCTTCCGGATTTTGGTGTTATTCGAGCTGTAATTTCATTCAAATATGTGAAAAATAATAAAATAAGACCCCTCCCGATGGAAATACACGCTAACTCGAAAGTACCCATTAAATGAGTTTCTTGTATTCATTTTTTTAAGTTATTCAAAACTGTCAAAAAATGGGTATTATTCAAAAACGAAAGCGGGTACTTTTTCCCCATTTTTGAAAATATATTCTACTGTTAAAATGGTTAAATATGTGTCTTCAATTAACTTCAAGACATCTCTAAAGAACTGGACGCGCAGGACAGAATGTTTAATCATTTTTATATTGCGTGCAAATCGGTAAAAATCACATTTAAAATATTTAGACGAGTACTGCGATTATGTGACGGAGGTCCAATGGATATATTAGTTTGTTCCGGCTAATGCTTATTGAGGTGGAAAAGTTTATTGGAAATAGTGCTACGGCCGGGTGATTAATTTTTTCTTTACTATCAGACACAGAAAGATGATGAGAGTTAAGCCGAAAAACCCCGAATAGCGAAGATCTGGACACGATCTGGTACCTATTGTTACGAGGTAAATATTAAAAGTGCAATTATGATGTAAATTGTATATGTTCTACAAATGTGTTCCGTTTTAGGTAAGTGAAAATCATCTGTGATTAAAATGTGATTTACATGCGGAAGGGTCAGTTCGATCAGTAGCATCCCTCGTGGACAGCTCCCAGCAGTGATCTGGACCGAATGTGAAACCGCTCTGAGGGAAAATACTAAGCTTGAATATCTGCAACCCTGCCTATGGGTAAATTCTACTTATTTATGTAATATGTATTGTGATTATGATTAAGTGTTTATGTGCAATAAAGAATATGAAGTATTTTTTTGATTTGAATTTTTTTTAACACGTTTGCTGACAGCAGCCTGGAGCAAAAAAACGAATCAATAAAATGGGTACATTTTACTCATGTGCAGAAAAAACATGATGGATGAAAAGTACCCATTTTTTG